TTCTCTTCCATCCTTCTCAAAGCGGCCCGTTGATAGCATAAACAGCAGTGGAGCCGAGCGAGTGGACGAAGTAGTGCGTCGGGAGCCTTGTCTGACTGTCCAAGGGATTAATCCCCCATCGCCCAAAGGCAGAGTCGCAAGCGACGATACCTATGCACTCTCGACAGGTTGCGGGGTCCCTGTTGCCTCAACAAACCTTCGACATTGCCCAATCCTTTCCTCCAGTCGCACTCCCGCAAGCTCCAAAAAAGCTGCAGGGGAAATAAGGAGCAATTAGCACCAAAGCTAACAAAGCTCCTCGAACAACAAGGTAGCAAGGTCAAGCTGCAAGCTCGAGGGGAGCCGGCCAGCCCAGCCCTCCGGGCCGCAGGTATCTCTGCCTCGGCTCTTCTGGAACAGCCGCCTCACTCTGTACCTACCTGCTTCTAGCGGGAGTATGTAGCCGTGGTGCCATTATTTTGCCATTGCTGCTGCGGCTACCATTTGTGGGTTTGGCCCCGGATGAGGCTGAAACGACCTCGTGCAGGCTCTAGGCCTCAAACCTCCCATGGCCGGTATTCTCCCAAAAGTGTGGCAACACTACAGCGCATGTTCGTTCAGTGTTAACGGCGATCTGGTTTGAGTTCTGCTTTGGTTTGGTTCACTCTTGGTCCACTGAGATCGGATCTGATGTCCTTATTCAACCCAACCGTTCAGGGTTTGGACTCTCGCAACTCGGACGATGCAGGCGAGGTTGGTTCGTTCCGACGTACAGATTCAACAAATATACGCGCCGCAAGACAGAGGCTGCAAGCCCGAGACGACAGATACCGTAAAGAGGAGCATATCGCGGTAGACCCGAGGCTTCGTCACGAAGTATTTACACCCTCACAACTCGGACAATCCAGGCGAGGTCTCAGACGTGGTCGGTGTGAAAACAAGCTCGCTTCCCGCGTGGTTCAGGGTCTAGGATTTAGCTCGTCAATCTAGTGGAAGTAGTTATACCTCGGAGGCCCTCGCCTTTCTCGAGCTCAGGCAGTCCTGGCACCAGAACCCTACGGAAGAATATTGGGAGCCCCTTCCACCAAAGCCCTACACATAGGAAATCAGCAGCCCCTTTTCATCAAGCCGCAGGCCGCATCCCAGGGAATGCGGTTCGAGAGAGAAGCTTCCTTGGCTTCAGCGCTTGCTTTGAAGCTTCGAGCGCGAGGCAAACTTGGAAGCTCAAGTGCAAAGAGCGGATCCGGGCAGAAGGACATGTGAGTGACTTCGCGTTCATGATGCCTACAACCACAACCTCAATGTTGGAAGCCCTGGCCAACTTGAAGGAATGCTCTCGACATGTTGGCCCAAAGCTTCGATTCTCAAGCCCGATGGGAAGTTGAAGAGCAGCTCCGCTCTGCTGTCGTTCACCGCAAGCCTTCTACTTTAAGGATCATGGGACTTACAGTAGTAAGTAGGGTTATAACTAAGGTAACTATAATTATAACCCCAATTAGGGGACTTGTAACCATACTTACTAATTCCCATGATGCTCAGAGGTTACGCGAGACGCCACAGATCTCCGTCTGGTTGTTGCTCCCTAAACCTGCGATTCTTTTTCCTTGTGTTCAAGTGCACATCGCGGTACGAAGACGAACAAAACGAGATACAAATGCTGCCCGCCAAACAATAGAGCAAAAAAAGCAACCAGCACACACAACACACAACCAGCCTGGAGTGCACATGGATGACACTGAGGATTCAACACTGCATGGACTCACAAATCTATGAATGACCCGTCATCCACCTCAGCGTCTCATGACACAAACCCAAAGTGGATCAATGAATGGAAGTTTCCGAAAAAGGGGGGACCCTAATCTAGTACCCTAAATAGTAGGACCCTTATTATAAGGACCCCCAAAATAAGGTACCCCCTATTTTCGGAAGCTCCTGAATCAACCACCAAAAACGTCGCACCCCGTCCTGCCTCCCGACCTCGGACTCCACGACGAAGACGGCCGGCTGGTTCCGGGGAAGCTCCCGGTCGACGGGAAGCCCTCTGTCCGTAATTCGGACCGAGGCTTCCGCCGGGAAGACCTGACTTATATATATATATATATATATATATATATTTTTATATATTATTATAAAAATTATATATATATATATATATATATAATATATACATATATATATATATGTATGTGTATATGCTCAGACTGGGACAGAGGGGCCTAGGGTTTCTGGACTTGGTACACTTCTCGATTTGTGCGTGTCCTCGCAGGGGGCCATGGGGTTCTGGGACAAGGCCTCAGGGCCTACGGCTGAACTTACGACGCCACACCTGCTCCGTGAGAATTGTGCCGTTGCTGTGGGAGACCAGAGCGGCAACCCAGCTGGAAGAGAAGTTGGCGGAGCCCTTTGCCTGGTAGCTGGCAACGATGACGGCCACGCTCCTGTTTTCACGGTCGTCAGTAATCCGGGTGAACCAGCCCTCGAACCAAGGCCCCTCCCGGTGCACCGGGAGGGGCTCGAATGGAGAGGCACGAGAGAGTGCCGCGGCACAGAACACGACGCGCCACATGCTGGCTCTTCTAAATGATGGTCAACTTCAGGGTGCCATGGATCACCCGCCGCTAAAACGAAAACATATACCTCCACGCACATAAGTACCTGAAAATTCCCGCAACATTACCATGAGTTAAAGCCTTTGAACTGGAGCGCCTGCCGTGTTGTGACTGTCGCTTACAGCATAGCTTGAGGGTTCTGGGCTTTGGGCCGCAAAACGGCCGCGAAATCCTAGGCCACTCGAGACTATGAGCTGCAAAGATACTCGAACTGATCATAGCGTTCCTTAGCCAAGGAGGCAGGTTGGAAGAGATGGGTAGGCACGCCTGGAGCTGGGCAGTCTTCGTCAGCACAATACAAAAAAAGGCCTTGTGCACGAATGCATTCCAGGGAGAAGAGCTCGGTGTCGCTTGTCGGCACCTCCGGCTGAGCTGGTAAAGACTGGGTGTCAAATCTCTCCTTGGATTGCACTTCCGTGTTCATGGGCAGGTTAAAGTAATACATGTCGGGGTACAACCATAAGTCGTTAGTCTGTAGCTCTGCCAAAAAGCCTACAAAGCACAGCACCTCTGCAGGATAGATACGCTACTGAAAAAGCCTGAAGAATCACCAACAGTCTTCCTTAGGGTTCCTGACTATACCTTCCGAAGACCTGTTCACGCGCTCTTAGTACTAGATGTTAGGAGCCTTTCGCTTCGTTTTTGTATAAGACCCTCCGATTTCAGGGTTCGGATGTCATGTACCGACGCAGGCAGAGATTTTGCACTTCGAGGGGCTCGGAGGGAAGGGGTGGAGGTGGGGGGGTTAACTCCGTCATGTCCGAAGCTTCACCGTTGTGCACTTCGTAGAGCCGCACTGCTTAACATGTCCTGTCAGAGCTTCCGCGGGTAGGGTCGAGGGCTTGGGGTTGCGCCCTGAAGGTCAGGTAGGAGTTCAGGCTGGACTTGACGGGTTGCCTTTGAGGAGTTTCGGACGAAGCCTATTCAACTTGCTGCGGCATTTTGTTTCATTGTGGAGACCGGAGCCCAGACATGCCGTGTCAAGTGTAAAGGGTTTGATCATAAGCTGTTGAAACTTATGCATATCTAGCCTGTGAAAATAAATATTGCGGGTTGCTCCGAATGCCCGAGATAGCACGACTCCTCAGTGCACATAGCTCCATAACTCCTATGATGCAGTCAATCAGAAGTGCCAACAACACGCACACCCCCAAAAAAATACAACAAAGCATGACACAACAAAATCAAGAAAAATACGTCAAAGTCACGAAATGCCGCGCCTGCCACGATTTTCGATTATACCACAACTGCTTCAGCTCAGAAAATAGATTTGCACCCTGGGCGGCACCATACGAATACCCGTCCGTGTGCCTGTTCCATGCGCTTCAAAACAAACAAAGATAACGAATTCCTGGTGTTTTTGTGGGTACGCTCCACAAACATCACCCCGTCACATACTCGCTGGCCTCCGCGTCTTGGTGTTCGCGAGGTGAAATGCTCCCCCAATGTTTTGTGGATTGTTTCTTGTTCGAGCAACGTCGAATGCTCAAATCCCACGAGTTGCTCACACTTTGAAGAACACCCGCCGACGAATGGACCGAACTAAACTCAATATGTTAGCGTCTGCATGGCTTCAAGACACTCTTGTTGGCATCTGCGCCGAGGCCAATTTTCGAGTTGTAACACATGTTGACACAGAAACGCGTGATTTCCACACCCAAGCAAATCAATGACAATGTTGTGTTTCTAGTGCTATTTATAGTAGAAAACGCTTCCGTGCTGCAGCATGCGCGAACAGGGCTTCGGAGCGTTATTATAAGTACAGTATTATATACTCCAATATCCCTTTTCCAATTCTTACTGCCCCTACAAAATTCTGACGTTGGCCCCGAGGTCATCACGGGGAAGCTGACACGGTGCTTTCAGGCAGAAGCCCTTCCCAAGCGAAGCAAACCCGGATTCCGACAGATGAACACAGATTGATCAGGGTTGACGCTCTCACAACTTGGACCCTTTTTGAAACCGGGCTTGATGACTGCCAGCATTGCCTCTTCTGCCGTTGTTCAGCCGAGGCCCGAACGTTGAGTGGAGTGCTTGTGTAACAACTTGGACCCTAAACCCTAAACCCCTTGCCAGGTTTTCGATTTAGGAGCTTTCCCATGTCTTGCACAGGAGCGGAGTACCGGAAGATTAGTGGAGCCGGAGGCGACACTCGGTAGGCAAGCAAACTACCCCGTCTTCCCGGTCAGTTTCAGAAGCTTCGAAGCTTGCAATGGGTGAACAACTGACCCCGCATCCCCAGAGCCACCACAACCCGCGCAAACTTGGTTCAAAAACACGCAAGCATCGCAAGCATCGCAAGCCCGCATGCAACAGCACACATCCACCAAAAAAAAACAAAAAACAACCGAAACCAAAACCCTCTAAACACCCCCTCAACCCAAAATCGACCCCCTGCTTCCCAAGCAGCGCCTGCGGCTTTGGGGCCTGGGATCGACGGGGACTCCCGGCCGCGGGCATTGGCGGCGGCTCCGGCCGCGGCTCCTGCAACTAGGGTTTAGGGTTTAGGCTTTAGGGTTTAGGGTTTAGGGCTTAGGCTTTTGGGTTTAGGGTTTAGGGTTCAGGCTTTAGGCTTTAGAGTTTGGGGTTTAGGGTTTAGGCTTTAGGGTTTAGGGTTTAGGGTTTAGGAAACTCTCCGCCGGTCCGGCAGGGCGGGCTTTCTTCTTGAAGAAAGGGTGCTTTGGTGTTACTGTGATGCCAACAACGACCACGACGACGACAAAGAAAAGACGAAGAAGCAGAGCAACAGCAGTAGCAAAAATAATCATTATAACCATGAACAAGAGAAACATAATGATTATGGCACTGGTCATGATGAGTTTGAAAACAAGAGCACTAGTAGTAACAATCGTGTTAGTAGTGGCCAAGGTAATAGTACTACTCGCAATAAATGATAATACTAACAAGAATTTGCTAATAGTAACAGTGTATGTTTCCCCTCTCGCACCGCCGCAGCTGCGAGGCTGCCAGAAAACTACATTCTCGCAGAAAAGTGCAAGAATAAATCTAACGATAACCGTAAACATAAGCTCGGCATTATTCATAAGCTCAACAACAAGCACATTCGTGACCACTATAATCATACTTAACGGCTTGCAATCGTGCAGGCAGCAGAATGTCGGGCGAAGGCGTCTTGCAAATAGCAAGCTTGTAACGGCATCTGCTTTTGGGCGACACGGGGTCGTGAGAGCCTTTGAGCGGAAGATAGGAGCCGGGAAAAAAAAAGCTGGAAACGCTGAGCCCTGGGACCCGGACCTCGAACCCTGAACCTCTTCACTATTGCAATTATTGTTGTTTATAATGATTGCGACTACTACTACTACTACTACTACCACCACAACAACAACAACAACAACAACAACTACTACTACTACTACTACTACTACTACTACTACTACCACCACCCTTCTTCGAGTACTATTACCGGTCCCATGATTATCATTATCAGAACTAGTCTTCTTAGTACTATTGTTATGAATGCTGCCAGGAGCCTCGCGGGGCCGTGGGGCCGGCGGCGGCGAGACTACGCTGCTGCGCCTTGGGGATGCAGTATGATCTAACATGATATGACAGAATATCATATATCATACAATGTAGTTTAACATGACAGCACATGGATTGATACGATATGGCATCATATGATATGATATAATATGGTATAGATGTAGGACGGGGAGGTTTCAACGGGTTCGGGATGCGGGTTTGCTAAATCAATGGACGGAGACCCAGCCGGAAGCGCACCTCGGTACACCCAAGAAGACAAGACAGGCCTGGACTCCTTGCCTGATCTATGTGAAACAAGAATTACCGCAACTTCTGCCAGGAGCGCGAAGGCCTTTGGCAGTCTATGGGCGTGTACTTGGGACCTACTCTTCCTGGATGCGTTCTGCACGAAAGGAGCTGCAGTGGAGGAACTGTGATGTGTTGATCTGGCTGCTCACATCCAAACCATATGTCAGCACTTGCCGGATCGCTCTTCGTTGTGCGATGCTGTCTCCATTCGCGAGTCCACGGGTCATGCCAGGGCAGTGGAAGTGGAAGGCACAGCCTTCGCAGGTTACTTCAGGATGCAGCTGCAACCATAACATGAAGCGAGTGCGCGACACTTCGCCATCCATGCGTGACTTACGCGCACAACTACAACTTGACTACTCCGACTTCCACAGCTCGACAACCGGCAGTGTTCCATCTCCGCTGCTTTTGAAATCGACCAATCTGCAGCATAGGCGCACGGTTTTTAAAGCCTCTTGGAGTGCCGGGCAAGAACAGTACACAAACTGTAACCCTGTTTAAAAAACTCATATGGCCCACATTCGATGGATCATAGGTCGCGAAGAAAAGCTATGCAAAGCTTAGGACAAACATATAATCACCCTGCTTATAACTTACACTTCTACCCATGATTCCCCCAATTTATAGAATTGTTTCCATTTGTGTTGTCTTATTTGTAATTTTCACAAGTTTTTGTTACTATGTATGTTACTCCCTCTGAACCTCCAAGTTGACTGGAATCCTGGGTCCCGGGCTCTGTCCACTCTTTCTGATTCTGATACGGCGAGACTGCGCGTGCCTGCAGCACGGCTTGATGTCAAGGCTTTGCCCAGAGAGCCCAATACCCCCTAATTAAGGAATATGGCTTAAATCATAATATGAAGGCCTCTATAATTTCAGGTATATTCCTTAATTAAGGAGTATTGGGTTCTCTGGGTGGCTTCAGGGTCAAGAGTGGAAGAGCATTCGGCCACTCCTGCGGGCAACCTCAATGCAAACCAGCAAGTTCAGCATGGCAAGCCCTTGTGTGGCACAGTAGACCGACTCTTTGCATCAGCGCGGACGCACACGTGCGCAGGCGAGGCTGAAAACTGGTTGGTGCGTCTTCACAGCACAAAAATGCTGCGGAGCAAAGCAGTGCCCTCTTCTATGGAGGTTCGCTGCTAACCAAAGGTGATACAGTAGCCCCTCGTTGTGGCGAACGCTGCCATTTGCCCTGTCAGAGCTGCGGAAAATTAAAATCAAAAAAAAAGGAAGTCGCTGAGCCCTAGAAAGCTGCGATCACTTGGCTTTTGCGCCGGCTGGGGGCTGGAGGGTGATTTCGCTCTCACGGTCGACGGTGTCGCAGCAGCACCAAGTGCTCGCCTTCGCGTGCGCCTTTTCCGCCATGTCCCCAAGCTTGTCCCCGAGCTTCTCTAGCTTTTTGCCCATGCCGCCCCAGTTAATGCTTGATGCAGCCTCCTTCATGGACACACCGTACTTTTTGGCCTGTTCGGCAATGTCGTCCCAGGGGATGTCCTCGGTATTGATCTATATCCCAAACCTTTCCCGAAAGCTTGACGCTATAGCCTGAGGCTACTCTCAGCTTCACAACAAAGACCCCGTCCTCTGCGGCCTCCTTGATGGAAAGCCCCATCCCGACCGCTGCATCTTTCATCGACACGCCTGTGGCTTTGGCCTTCTCCGCAATTTCGTCCCAGGGGATCTCCTCCATCTTCTTCTTCACTGCCGTCGCCATGGCCTGGGCCTTCCTGGTCATCTCCTCCCACGGGATGGACTTGGCCGCCTCCTTCATGGAGACGCCCATCTCGGTGGCCTTCGCCTGGATGTCGTCCCAGGGGATTGCCTCGATCTTCTCCTGGGCTCTTATTCGGGAAGATAGTTGAAGCTGCCAGAACCAACCACACAGCCATTCTGTGCACAAGATGCCAATAGGAACGAACGAACGAGTGAAAGAACGAATGAATGAAGGAACGAAGGAGAGAAGGAATGAACGAATCAACGGGGAGGGAGTGCAAGGAATGATTGAATGGCTGAATGCTTGAATGGCTGAATGCTTGATTGTCTGAATGACTCAATGACTGAAAAACTGAATGCTTGGTTGATGGGTTGAATGAACGAACGAATGAATGAATGGGTGGATGAGTGAGTGAGTGAGTGAGTGAGTGAGTGAGTGAGTGAGTGAGTGAGTGAGTGAGTGAGTGAGTGAGTGAGTGAGTGAGTGAGTGAGTGAGCAAATGAGTGAATCAGTGAATGAGTAAGTGCATGAATGAGTATGAATGTTTGAATGAGTTTTTGAATGAATGAACGAACGAATGAATGAGTGAGCAAATAGCAAATGATCGAATGAGCGAATGAGTGAATGAGTGAACGAATGAGTGAATGAGTGAATGAGAGCATGAGTGAGTGAATGAATGAATGAATGAATGAATGAATGAATCAATGAATCAATGAATCAATGAATGAATGAAAGAGTGAATGAAAAAGTGAAATGCATGAACTGAATGAAATGAATGGAACGAAGGGGGTGAAATGAAATGAAGCTAAAATGAACATGAAAAGAAATGAAACTAAAATGAAAATGAAAAGAAATGAAACTAAAATGAAAATGAAATGACAAGGACAGAAAGAAATGAAACGCAAATGAAGGATTGATGGAGGGAATGGAACGAAACGAACGAATGAACCAACTGATTGAATGATTTGCACGAAGGAATGAATGAATGACAGAAACAAAGGAAGGAAGAAAGAAAGAATGAATGAATGAGTGAATGGATGGATGGATGAATGGACGAATGGATGAATGGATGAATGAATGAATGAACGAACGAATGAATGAATGAATGGAATGAACGAATGCATGAATGCATGCATGCATGCATGGATGCATGGATGTCTGATTAATTGAAAGAATGCATTCATGCATGAACGAAAGAACACATGCATGCCTTTGGTGGGTGGCTGGATGTATGGAGGGAGAGATGAATGAATGCATGGATGGAGGGATTGAGGGATGTCTGCTAAGATATCCCAATCCCCGCAACTTCTGAAACTGCGGCTCCTTCACGGCCACGCCCATGTCCAGAGCGGCCTCTCTCTCTCTCTCACTCTCTCCCTCCGCCTCCGAACCCAGATCTTCATGAGGCCTAAACCCAAACAAGACACCTACATCGAACCATATTATGGGTTTAGGGCTTAGGGTTTTTTATACTATAGAGGGTTAACCATATTATGGGTTTAGGGCTTAGGGTTTTTTATACTATAGGGTCGGGGGGGCCATGGGTGTTGTATACTCTGCCGGAGGGAGAATTGCCCCAACTTCTCGGTTTCACCTGCCCGCGGCGGCCTCCTTCATGGGACTTAGTAAGTATGCTTATAAGTCCCCTATAATTGGGGTTATAAGGTTTAGGGGTTTAGGGGGTTTAGGGGTTTAGGGGTTTAGGGTTTAGGGTTTGAGCTTTAGGGGTTTGGGGTTGTATAGTTACCTTAGTTATAACCCTACTTACTAAGCTCCATGATCCTTTAAGAGGGCGGCCTCCTTCATGGACACCCCGGTGGCCTTGGCCTGTGCCGCGATCTCATCCCAGGGGATCTCCTGATTTCTCGGCTCTGGGCTGCTTGAAATTTGGGGGCTTACTGTTGTTTAGGGCCTTATGGTTTCGGCGCTCAGACTCGGACAATCCAGGTTTAGGGTTCAGGGTTTAGGGGTTAGGGTTTAGGGTTTAGGGCTGAAAAGTGTTGGGGGGGGTTCCTCATGTTTTTTGAGGCTTTCGCACCATGGAGGCTTTCACCCCAACCCTGGGCCCCCGTCCTGATCGTCGTTGTCGGTCCTTCGCCTTCTCATCGAGCTTGACCATCTCCCAAACCTGGTCCTTGGCGCCTTTGTCGCCGCCCCAATCCGAGCCCCCGTATTTGTTCCCATTGCTTTTCGTCTGTGCGTAAATCCTCCTGGCATTGAGCGAGACACCAAGCTATACTACGAACCCGAAACCCTGCCAACCCCGAAACCACCCTAAACGCGATATCCGAAACCCTGAACCCTAACTACGAACCCCCGAACCCAAACCCTTCCCCCCCGGCTCTTCTTGGTTGTGCGGTTCAAGATCCACACGCCGCCGTCCTTCTCCTTTAGCTCCCATTTCCTTACAAGATTATGTTTGGATTGCAGAGTTTTTGACACTCACTCTCGGATGAATCCAGGCAAGGTCTGCAGACAAAACAAACTCTTCGACGATGAGAAAACAAATGTTGCAGAGTTTTCGGGGTTTCGGGTTTAGGCTTTCGGCGTTGGCACACGGACAATCCAGGCTTAGGAGTTTCGGGCTTAGGGTTAGGGATGAGTGGCCTATGATTCTAGAGGCTTATATGCCCGGTTTAGGGACTACAACACTTGCGCTTGCTCAAGGCAGGTTCAGGGGCTTAGGATTTCAGGATTTTCCTGACGCTTACACTCGGATCAGGCAAGGTCTGGATAAGAGGTTTAGGGCTTAGGGTTAGGTAACGTGTACTTGGAACCTGTGAAATGTTAGTTCTTAGTACAATTAGGCTCTTCATTTGGATGCACATATGTGTAAGTATATACCCACATTTTTACGTATAGTATAGTCGTGTGTGCATATATGCTATAGATATGCATGTATATGTATGTATGTATGTATGTATGCATGCATGCATGTATGTACGTATGTAACTGTAGTCATGTAACTGTATGTATGTAACTGTATGTGCGTAACTATATGTATGTAACTGTATGTATGTAACTGTACGTATGTAACCCTGTGTGTGTGTGTAACTGTGTGTATGTATGTATGCATGTATGTATGTATGCATGTGTCGTTTACAATTCCTATTATGGTTCTTCTCATTCTTACTTTTTGACACTCATACTCGGACAAGCCTGGCAAGGTCTGCAGCGATACTGGTTCAGACGATTCAGTAATTACCTGCGCAGCAGGTTCACCGAGCAGGCATGGCTGTCAGAGTAGGCCATATACGACCGAGCATAACGACAATGAAAATGTGTGTGCGTGTGTGTGTATGTATGTATGTATGTATGTATGTATGTATGTATGTATGTATGTATGTACGCATGTACGCATGTATGCAGGTATGCAGGTATACATGTATGTATGTGTGCATGCATGTGTGTAAGTATGTAAGTATGTAAGTATGTAAGTATGTAAGTATGTAAGTATGTAAGTAAGTAAGTAAGTAAGTAAGTAAGTAAGTAAGTATGTATGTATGTATGTATGTATGTATGTACGTGTGTAAGTATGTAAGCATGTAGGTATGTAAGTATGTCTGTATGTATGTATGCACATGTATGTGTGTATGCATTGTTACTGGGCGCGGGTTCCCCGACAATGGATACAGATTAGCGAGTAAGATGCTCAGATGCAACGTGCATGAAATAGGCATGTGGCTGCAAATTAAGATTTCGCCGAGCAGCTCACTTCCCCAATGGGGATTACCCCATGTTTCCACAAAGCCCTTGCCATTCTTGTCGAAACAAAGCTTGCGACCCTCAGGCGTTTCGATGTGGCCATCTTCTTTCACCACCCTCGGATCTGCACGACAAGAGCATTACAACGCCATCGCCTTACGACCCCTCATGCATCTACGCCTGCTGTTGCCGATGCAGGTGCGTGGAGGGACACGTTATTACCGAGTCCGAGCTTCCATCGCAGCTCCTTTGACTTTGGCTTTTTGCCTGGTTCGGTTGCACCGGTGTGCCAACCATCGGAGAAAAGCCATCTGTCGCTCTCGACATTCCTGAACGACACGAGCATGGCAGCAGCAAGTCGGAATTCTGCAACTGGTCCTAGCTGTGGCACGCTGGTACAAAATGGCTGAAGCACAGCCAGTAGCATGCAGAACTACAACACCTCTCCAAAAAGGTAGCCGCCGCCAGTATTTCACCCATGTCTGTGACGCATTGAGTTGGCATGGTTACCATGGACTGTGTAATGATGATCACCACCTGCAGTCATGTCCGTTGTTTTAGGGACGTCCCTTAGTTTCAAGAGTCTACACCGCTGCTGCATAGGCGGAGCAGCAGGAGCAGGAGCGGGAGTGAGAGTAGAGTAGAAGTAGAAATAGTAGTAGTCGTGGTTGCAATTGTAATGCTAGCAGCACGGGTGCTGTAACTTGACTCTGCTAGTTGCAAACGCTTACCTGCAAACTACGATGACTGCAACATGACGGCTGCTGCTCCCCTACGACTGTGCTCTGCTGCAGCAAAAGTGCTGAAGCGCTTCTTCACTGCTAATTACTGCTACTGCTACCACCACTGCTTCTACTATGCGGCGGTGACGACCCCTACCACAAACGCTACGTCTCAAGCTGCCGTTACCCTCGTCTTCCTGCTCTTACTCTTCCTTCAGTAATACCTGCAGCAAGCGTCCCCAAGGGAACAGGCATAACCGAGTAAATGAAAGCAGCAGTCGTAACCGTCGTAACAGCAATCTATTTGATGGGATGGCACCAAAGCAAGACTAGCAATCAGTGTCGGCTGCAACATAGAAACAGCAATTCGAAAAACAGTGATATGCCGGGCCTGGGCACCTATGGCTTCCACAGGCGTGGAGAGCGGTGGGCAAGCGGGCGCCTTCCGGGATGTGTTGTGTTCGGAAGTCTCAAACTTCATAGGGCTGAAGCCCTCGTCGAGCTGTTGTCTCTATGACGTGCGAAATCTTCTGTAGTTTTGTGCTTCTGAGACAAGCCATGCCAAAACCAATAGTTCTGAACGCACAAGCTGTTGTCAGATCTTAACCCCCCAAAGCGGTAGGAATCCTGTTCCCGCAGGACTGAAAGAAAGCCTTTTTGCTTGCGTGTCCTGATTTAAGCCAGAGAACCAAAATTCAATCCCTCAAAAACCCGTACAAGTAGGCCAGCCAAAGCTTTGCCTGAACCCTAAATTACTCAACCCCACAGTAAACTCCCCTAAACCCTGAAAGTTTAGGGTAAAGAGCATCACCGGACCACCGTGGAAGGGAGCTCGGCGATTCCACGCAGGGCACGCACCTGGGAGCTGCTCCAACTGTGGAGTCCCTGACCAAACTACGAAGGCACCAAGTCAAGATCCCTGTTCTGGGATCCCTGCATACTAAACTACTGCTAACGAAAGTACGTGCAAAGAAGTCGACGTGCAAAGTAGAATGATAAGATGACTAGAAGTGAGAGCTTGGAATAGTCAGCATTGGCTGCGAGACGCTGACTTTTTGCGAGCTCGCTGCTCAGATCATGTCCCGTCCCAACCGCTCAAATCGATGTCGCTGTCACAACGTAAGGAGTCGTCGGCACGAATCCGAGCCACGAGCGCAGCCGCCTTGTACCAGTAGATGCTGAAGGTGCCAGCATTGCCCCAGAGATGCTCCTCGACACCATCGGGATCGCTGCTTTTAAACCTGTGCAGCAGCCTGTCGCGCGAGATGCACCAGAGGCACCCCATCACAGGCCAGAAGCCAATGTCAGGATCGTCCCATTCAGTTCCAGGAAAGCCCTGCAGCACATCCAGCACATCCAGCACATCACCAGCTCGCAGCTCTGTGACGCCGAACAAGGAAAATGCCTTCATGCTTAGTTCGACTCTCTTCCCAGCATCGCCCCAGAGATCCTCCTCAGGGTCCGACAAAAGCCATTCCAAGGGCCCAGAGTCGATGGAGAACTTGGTCACGGCCTCTGCCACGCGACATTGCACATGCACCGGCTCTCCTGTCTTCTCCGGACGGAATTCGTCCAGGAGCTTCACTTCACGAACCTGGAGCTCCAAGCCGAGAGATTCCAGGGCCAACCACAAAGCCCTGTCGCGGCCAACAAGTCTCCAAGAGTCCAGCTGCAGTCTGCCGTCGAAGCTGTACTCGTGATGGAGTAGGAACCCTACATCACGCAGATGCTTCTCCTGTAGCAAGGTCTCCAGCGCTGGCATGCATGCATGCAGCCTGTCGGCAAGGGCAAGCACGTTCTGGCCCCCACGGGTCGTCGAGCGCGGCTCAGCGAAAACTTTGTAGGTTGCAACGATTCGATGTCCTTCCAGGATTGGCCGTATCTCGTGCTTGCTGGATGTTAGCCAACAGCACCAGGATCCACAACCGCCATCCCAAAGTGCAACCTCAGCATCCGCTTCTTGGAAGACTACCGCTCCGCCTCTGTGAGGACAGCCCGCGATGGCGATGAGTGTCGCAACATGGTTATCCGAGCGCTTTGAGTCCCTGTGGCCCTTGAAAAAATCGCCTGGTCTGTATATCAGAAGCTTGTCAAACTCTGCACGGAGGATAGTGTCAGGTAGCAGCTCTGTCTCTACCTCTTTCAAGACGTTTGGTAGGTCGGGCCACTCGACCGCAACCTCCGCAGTTTCCATGACGCTGCGCACATTAAGATCCATGACCGTCTCCTGGCCACGCCCACATGGAGCTTGCGTGCAAACGTCCAGCAGTGGCTCTACATCCATCGGCCAACACAATGGCATTGAGCCTTTCAGCACGGTTATATCAGACTTGGTATCCCCTGCCACGAAATGGGGGCTGGGTATGTCGTCCATAGCTTCCAGCACTTCTATGACCTGCTGCTGAACGCCGTGACGCACCAAACTTGGCCGGGGTCGTCTTGCTCTCGCCAAGGCAACTGCCCCAAGAGTGAAACTCCACGCGGCTCTGCGGAATCCGCTCGTACCTGGCAGCGTTGCAGTCTTTCGTGACGGCACCAGGTAAGACCTCCATGGAGTCGTGCCCGAGCTTGACGCACGCATGTAACAGCCAAGCCCGTCATTCGCAGCGGCGACCCTGGAGGCGGCGACGGCAGCAACGCCCCCTTCGACGAGGCACCTGCACATCACCACTTCCGTTCCGACTGGAAAAACCTCGAGCCAAAGTCACTACGATCCGGCGTCATGCAGAACAGAGGCCATTCACGAAATCTCTGTTAGGTTTTGGATTTGGGGCTGTCGACTTTAACTATATGGTTTTGCTGCGGGCATGGATGTCAACCTGGGTTTCGCAGGGTTGTAGAACGAAGCAGCTAGGCTTGCGATAGTCATGATGCGAGATACGTGGAAAACTGAGTGAAAAGCACACAGTAAGTCCAGCAGCAACGGAAAGGAAAGCAAAAGCAGTGTTGAGGCAATACACAGAACTATTTGCGAACGTGAGAAAGCACATCTGCTCATCTTAAGAACTCATCAGACAAGGAGGCCGGAATGTTGAAGGTCAAACTACGACATGCGACCTTAGATGTTCAAGCATGCCACAAGCGCTCCTCTTGCATACTCAGTCTGCCTAACATGGGTAGTTCTCCAAATTAGGGTTCCTTTTGGGTCCTCAGAATAGTACGGCACCCTTATAAAACGGACCCGAAAAGGGACTCTAATTTAGAGAACTGTCCACACGAGCGGGATGTCATTTTGGAGAAACTGTGTCAGCACAGGCCGGCTTCTGAAAGCAGCTTGGTCGATGCTGGTGTGTGTTTTTAGTTCTCGTCCGCGACTTGAGGCTTAGTCTGGCCGTCGGCTCTTGGACAGCTGCTATGTCTCGACGGCGTTGTACTTCTTGTTTTCAAAGGCTCCCAAAAGTGTGTATGACAAGGTTCCTTTACAGGGCCATAAGGGCAACTCAAAGGCGTCCGAAAGCTCCACCGTTCATCTTTCTTGCTCCGCCTAAGCCTCCTGGGCCCGTTCGTGCCCTCAACCCTAAACCCTCAAGCCTAAACCTTCAAGCCCAAACCCTTAAGCCCTAGGCCCCAAGCCCTTAACCCCAAGCCCTAAACCCTAAGCCCTAAACCCCAAGCCCTCAACCCTTAAGCCCTAAACCCACCGGCCCTGAACCCTAAGCCCCAAACCCAAAGCCCTAAAAGCCCTCAACCTGAGGTCTGAGCAATCTCTGCGAAGTTCGGCCTGGCTTCCTGGAGATGCTTGGCTTCATATAAAGTCTTTTTATTGGCAGCACAATCACTCTGAGCTCCAAGCCTTTAAAAGTCTTGGGGCTTCGGGTTTTTGTTGGCGCCGGGTTTCTTATGCATTAGATGACTCTATTTCATGTTGTGTGATCATCATATCATATCAGACTATATCATGGTGTGGGTATATGGTTTAGGGATGTTCGGTGCTCGGGGTGTTGATTTGCGCTCTCACACTCGGACTCGCCGGTGAGTCCGAGCGTGACACTCCGAGCCATAAACCCTTTCGATTATAGGGTTCGCGTATAAGACTACTAACCTTGCATCGCAGCCATGATATATGTTCGGGTACACACAACTAACTAACCACCACACGGGCCCGTGAAGCAGGCGTCAACATGCAAAATCTCCCACCCTGCATGCCCAAACAGGCACAAGTATCTGCAGGTGTTCTACATCTGCCTCTCTGATGCAAAACGTGCTGCGACGCGATATTTGATGATACTTGTCCACAGCGCCGCGTTTCATACCCCGTGGCTCAAAAGCACGTCAAAGGTGCAGCGGGTCCCCCAAGCCAAAAACCAACAACCCTGCTTCTTGCGCTGGTTCTGACATGTGCCATGCTGACTTCTTTGACTTTCTTGGGAGTATTCCGTCGCAATTCCAAACCTCGCTCGCCTCCTTCTGCGAACTTCCCACAAAAGCGGATTCCCATAAACAAACTGCCTCCGCCTGTTGTGCAACGCTTTGGATTCAGTGCTTGAGCTTTCCTATTTACTTCAGGGATATGGAAAGTTCAGAAACTCATCCCCACAGTTTGACCCTACAGGGTGGGATCCAACAATATTCCGATTTGCAAAAAGGACAAGAAACCCCAGAATGTCCCTCCAAAACCGGGCTCCTGCCAAGTCCAAGTTGACTCTGCGCGACTCTGTTTTGGCTGAGGGCTGACAACGGTTTGGGGTTTAGGATGTAGGGCTTCACACACATAACCTCCTTCAAAGCCTAAGGAGACAAGTCCCAAAAGGGCAACAGAGGGTCTGAGCAAGGACCTCGCGAAGACGCGTGCAGCGCAGCGCCAGCTCCGACATCGCCCGCGCAGTCGCAGCGGGCCAGGCTGCCTCTCAGACAAGGGGGTTGAGGTGTATCTTTATAGTAGAAAGTAGAATAAGGAACCGTAAACAGCAACAGCACTACTTATTCCGAGGAGTATGATGGTAAAACGATGTTGAGGAACCCTAAACAGCAACCGTACTGCTGAGGCTTCAGGGCGTGGGGCTCAAGGTGAGCTTCTCTCAGCGACGTACCTTCGAGGAAGCGAGAAGAAAAGTTTGCGAGGCCATAGCGGACAGTGCTGAATAAATGCGTCGGACTGCTGCGAAGAGTCACACCAGCATTCGGGGCCGAGTCCTCCGAACCCCCTGGAAACCCCAAAACCCCAAAACCTACACTTCACGAGTCCGTGCCTTCTTGTCAAGCAAGCTCAAGGCATTCTGAAGGTCGCCGTTGATGCGGTGCGCGAGGTACTGCGCAAGTGCGGATCGCGCCACGGGCCAGGGGCTGAGTATCCGGGGGAATGTAAACAGTTCGCTACACATTCACTCCATTGGTTGAGGGTTTTTCTGGGGTTCATACCAAAGCATATATTATTCGCAAGAACGCTAGGATACAAGTGGGTAGTTCTCCAAATTAGGGTCTGTTTTTGGGTCCTTCTTTATAAGGGTGTCATACGAGTTTGGGGACCTAAGAGGGGACCCTCATTTAGAGAACCACCCATGGCAGGAAGAGCTCTGCTCCCCCAGTCCCCAGAGAGCCCCATACCCCTTCATTAAGGCATATACCTTCAATCATAATATTAAGGCCCCTATAATTTAAGGTATCCTCCTTAATTGAGGCATATACCTTGAATTTTTTGCCTCATAATATTAATTAAGGCCCCTATACTTTAAGGTATATTCCTTAATTAAGGCATATACCTTCAATCATAACATTAATTAAGGCCCCTATACTTTAAGGTATATTCCTTAATTAAGGCATATACCTTAAATCATAATATTAATTAAGGCCCCTATACTTTAAGGTATATTCCTTAATTGAGGAATATACCTTAAATCATAATATTAAGGCATCTTCCTTAATTCAAGGGTATTGGGTTCTCTGGGTCTCCACACCTGGATCTGGCCACTTCCCTCGCCGGACTTCCGGCTCATGAAGGCTGGCCTTGGTCTTTTTTGGTTTCGTTGACAAGGCTTCAATAGGGTTTAGGGTTTAGGGTTTAGGGTTTAGGGTTGCAGGCTTTCAGGTAGCTATAGGATGCTATAGGGGCTTACTGGCTTCATGGTTGGTATAGGGTTGGCGAGGTCTCTTTTTGATTTGTTTCGGCTATCGGGGAAAGAAACGGTCGTCGACATCCCTGGCGTTCTTTGTCCCCTCACCGGGGCTTTTGAGTTCCCTGTGGGCTCAGCCGAAGGAGGCCCTAAGCTTAAGCCCCAAACCAAGCCCTAAACCCCCCCAAAAAAAATTAAACCCCAGCCCCTACCCCCAAACCAAGCTCCTTAGCCCGACTTCACCTCAGGGACCCCTGAAGCACAGCTCAGAGAGGGGCGGCGAGGCAGTGAGGAGCTCGAAGAGGACCATGCCGAAGGAGTAGACCTGGCATGGCGTGGTATGTGCCAGCTTTTTGTTACGATACTCTACTGCAGTATACTACAGTACTGTCTCTTTTCGTAGACTACCGTACGAGGCTGTAGCATACTGCAGCGTATGTTATAGTTTTTGGCTCGAATCTGACAGCCAATCAAACAAACAATCCAGTGGATCTGCTGCTTACTTGCTGGTATTACTCGTGGGAAGTGATACCAGCAAGCCGGCGGCAGATCCAATTGTCCTTTTGGTTTAGAATTTTGCTTGCAGCTGAAAGTTCCTTGCCCAGGTAACGAAACGTCAGCTGCAAGCAGGAGTGGCACCGAGGCACTGTCATGGTTCTTAGAGGGACACTGAGAAGCACCCACTCGCACCCATCTCACCAGGGCAGCCGGACTCGAGCTCCAGTAGCCTGGCCTCCCATTCTGAACCCATGATCACCCAAGGCCCTGCACCGATTTCTGCGCAGAGCCCTGGTCTGAGCCCGAGCCCTCGACGTCTGAAGTTGAAAGCAGTTGCGACGTCGGGCTGGTTTTTCGTGCTGTTGCTGCAGGACGTGGGGCTTTGGTAACCAACAATAAACCAAAAAATGGTTTAGGGCCAAGTATAGGGCTTGCGGCCGGCAGCATAACGCGTCAACTGCAGCCATGGCTTCCGGGAGACTCCGGGGGGCAGAAGTGGAAAGCCAAGAACCCACTTGGTAGAATCTTGTCGTTGAGGCCGGTTCGCCATCGCTTGGCCCCTCTCGCAACTCTCGTCTGGGGTTTTGCATCGCGCTAAAAACACCATGCTAGTGCCGTCGACCCCACCCCGAAGCCTGATGACCCAAACCCTGCGAAGCCTGAAACCCCATATTTGGTCTCAAGCGTGGAGCACTCCGAAATCAACCACCAAAACCTCAAAGAGCCCTTCAGACGCAAAACACCCTGAACCCTAAACCTAAACCCTTGATTTGAGCAGGGACTGCAATGCACTGAGCCCTGAATCCCTTCAGCCCTCAAGCCTAAACCCTCATTTTAATCCAGAGAAGTTGGGGAAGCTGGGACCTCGGAGCCCTCGGTCACCACGCCGCGCCGGACATAGAGTGGGCAGGCATACCCAACCTCAGGAATTCTAGGCGACAGGGGGTTTAGGGTGGAGCTCTCTCTCACTCTCCCAGCCGTGCGAAGTCTTGCTGTTCCAATAACCTGCCATTTGTGGCGGGTTAAGCTGAAGGATTCATGACCCACTCTGTTGTAGAGTTTAAAGCTGCCTGCAATCGCGGCAACATCGGCAGTAGCAGTTGCTGTAGGCAGTAGCAGTGTAGCAGCGGCAGTAGCACCAGCGGCAGCAGCTGTCGTCGTCGTAGAAGTCGAAGTCATCGTCGTAGCTGTTTCCCCGAAAAGCCGGTGAAGCTTTCCTCCCTACCCGGAGCGATCATTTTCGTGTCCGGACGAATCGTGGATTGCAAATCTCGCCTTCTCTACTCGCTCTGAAGGATTCGTGGGCTTATCCGAGCTTTAAAACACCTCCGCTCGGTCGTCTGAGCATCGTGGCTATGACATTCGCCGCTGCGAACTCCCTTGCTCCCCAACTTGTTACAGTTCAGTTATCAGGCATGTGACAGTCCGGTGCAAGCAGTCACAGGGAGATTGCGGGCCGAGGGGGTGAGGGGCGAGATGCTCTGGCGTCTAGATCGCTCCAGTAACTCATGTATACGCTTTCAAAGCGTCGCCACGAAATAGCTTCCCAGCCTGCCACCCAAAACTCTCGACACTGCAAGTACATCGTAAACCTCGAACCATCACGCGCTCCTTTTTTCGGGGTCGCAGGTTCCTGCGGCGCCGCAGCATCCTGCAGCCCTTAAGCCGCTCTGTGGCTCGAAGACAAGGATGGCCCAGGCCCGCAGTAGAGTCTTTTGGGAGAGCTTTGGGACAAGGGTCTAGGATGTACGATCTGGCCTTCAGGGTTGAGGCATGTTGAAGGGTGGGAGCCTGGGCAGCGAGAGTCTCCGCTCTGTATATCATTGCATAGCCGGCCGTCCGCATCTGTAGCGCCGAAAGGGTTCCATCGCTCAAGTTCACCAGGCTTCCGGCGTGGGAACTTAAAGGGAACCCTCACGTCTAGCAAAGGACCGGAAATGCCATAGCAGCGACAGCCCTACAAGTAAACTCAAGACCTCAGCTAGTTCGGTGACCTCAATAATCGTACTGCACGGTGCCGCCCTCAAGCTTCAGCGCTTTGATGCGAAGGCTGATCTTGCCCAGCTTCTCTCCGAGCAATCCGGACGGGAAAGGGAACTTGGTCTTGTAGTCCTGTGACATTTGGGTTCTACGGCTGGGGCTTGGAGACCACTTTAGGCAACCTCTAGGCTAAGAGATTGGTTCGTCCTCTGTGCTCTTGATGCTCAGCGTCTCAGTCGTGCCGTCCACTGAGATTTCACAATCAATCTTGCAGCTCTCATTGCACTGCAGGAAGATGGCCGCGGTGGGTGGGCTGCCCTTCCCGTTGGCACGACAACAAATCCAAGCCTGCATGCAGAATGTATTACAAATTCATGGGGCATGAGGTGCTGGGTGTCAGGGTTCAGGATGATATTTCAAGCAGCAAACCCGAGCCTGGACGTGTTTGGACTCGCTGCCATTCTCCAGATTGATTTTCGGGCTCTCCTTGCAGAATCCTTCTACCAGGTCTTCGCCCGAGAGGTCCCAAATCATGCCACGGCCGTCCCTGGCTTGCACATGGTTCCGCAGACCCTCCAGCTCTTTGACCAAGTCTTCGGTGTGCTTCGTCAGCAGGTCAATCCTGGCCTGCTGCTCCCTCGCAAGCGCCGCCAGTCCTCTGCAAGCCCGGCTCGTTGCAGAGAGGAGACCGTTGGAGGCGTCGACGTTGAACCTGTCCATGCCGTGCGCCCGGGCGTATGCGGAATAGGCCTCCTCCTGGAGCTCGGCAGCCTCGAAGGCTTCGGCGGCGAGGACTGCGAGCTGAGCTCCTTTTTGATGTTGTTTCGAGGTGTAGAGCTGCTCAGCAAGGGACAGGGATGCTCCTGGCGGAAGCTGCCTGATCTCATGCGGCTCTAAGGCCAGACATGCGAGCAGATAATCCGGAACAGCTCGTTTACGATCAAACAACAGTGTCAACAACAGCCCTTCTTGCTCAGTCTGGCCCTTCTTCTCCAGATGTCCCAACAAAACGTCCAGCTTGCCCTCTGCAGCTTCCGCATTGCCAGGGTCCATGTCATACGCAAGGGTAAACACCGATTCTGACTTCTCAGTGCCTCCAAGTGAATTGAAGGCTTTGGCCGCACTGACCGCAATTCGAGACCCTTCCGCTTGTCTTCCTGCCGTGTGAAGCTGTTCTGCCAGAGCTACGGATACTTCTGGCGCCAACAGCTGTATGTATCTCGGTTCCAGTGAAATTTTCTGTAGTAGCTCATCCGGAACCCGTCCACGACGAGCGTAGAGCAGCGTGAGCAAAACGTGCTGAGAAGTACACTCCACCGGACCCTTCTCCGACACATTTTGGAGCAAGATGTTCAGCAAGCAGTCTTGGGCTTCGTGATCAGAATCTGTGGCGAAGGAGCTCAGCAAAGTGAGGCCTTCCTCGGGATACCTATTGACAAGCTGCAGGAAAAGCTCGGCCCGGAATGTCCCGCTGTCTTCCGTCTCGCTTGCCCTACGCAGGTCGGATCTGAACAGCTCCACAGCCCGAACGCACGCATCCTCGCGGTTCTTGAGGAAGTACAAGGCCTTGCTCAATACTTCAGAAGAGAGGCTGGGCAGCTCCACCTTCAACGTTGCATGCAGAGCTGCGAGCACCAACGCTGCACCGTCTACCCAAATACCAGCTTCTTCCACAGAGCTGAGAGGAAACACGAACTCCCAGAGCCTTTTTGCCATTGGCTCCACCTGAATAGCTGCCTCCTTCTTCTTTAGCATCCACCTTTGTGTATTTTGGTTAGTAAGGCCGCCCTCTCTTTCCAGCGCTTCGGCCAAGCGACTAGCAAGCTCCCTTTCCAGCATTTCAGCACATGGCAGCACAGGCGGTCCACGGGCTGAAGTCTGTAGGAAGGAAACGAAGTCGTCTTCGAACTCGCCCAGATACGAAGCAATATCCCAGGATTCAAAGTTGGCAAGCACTTCCGCAACCGTCTCGACGGCCTTTGCGGGATCCTCAGCCACCAGACTCATGAGCCGTTGAACTGCATCGCATCGCGATGCGGATGGAAGTGCTGCCCTCTGCTGCAACAGTCCCAGAAGCTTGACCCGTGCCGCGGAATCGAGGGGCTTGGACCGCACGAATCCCTCTGCTTTCGACAGCAGCTTTATTGACCGTCGTCTCCATGTAGGTGACGATGGCGGACTTCTTGTCGTGATTCGGAACGACCTCCAGGCATGAGATGGCTTTCACACGAAGCCGGCATGACATCGTGGCGAGCAGCGATCACGTGACCTTGCATTCAATCAGTGCGCACGATGCCCCCTGCCTGGATACCAATTGTCTGGTTGGTTATCGGGCTGCATCGCTTGCTTCGCAATGCCTCCTCGATCGCCTTCTTCTCATAAGTATAGCCGTCCTTCGTATCAATAGGGTTTAAAGACCGAATACCCTCAGCCCCGGACAATTCCAAGGGTAAGCCCACGTCGTGAATCAGACGACAAAGTGGAGTGAATGCGTCTCTGCTCCGATTTTGGGCCCGGTCGACCACAGATGGTTCTAATGACGAAACCGAGGAGATCACTCCCTGCTCCCAAGAGCATCGGAAGATACATGCAGAATATGCAGGCCTGCAGCTAAGACAAGGACATCCTAACCTAAACTCCCTGTCACAGTGTCGCCAGACACAGACGGTGGCCCGCGCCTGCAAAACGGCACAAAAGGCGCTTCAGAACCAAAGCCTCCCCTTGACTATGCAATCTCAGGAACCTGACCGCTCAACTGTGCTGTTGAGTTGAAAGGGTTTTAACTTCCACTTGATACTGCCAAGTATCAAGTGTGTATCGGATTAGCGACTATTAGCCATGGAAAATCCGGCGATCCTCGGCAACGACCGGATGTTCCATCAAGGTCTTGCCGATGGGGCAGAGAAAGTCATCGGGGTCGCTTAGAAGACGCTTGGCCTCAGGAGTGGCTCAGAGACACTCGCCTTCCTACCCCTCCTCCGCACTCGACAAGCCAAGTCGCCTCTTCCTCGCTGTTCTTGTCGACTTCTTCAGCTTTGGCAGAGACCTCCAGTTCGTCGCTTTCCTGGTGCTGGTGCTGGTCGAGCCTCGCCGTCACGTCATCCGAACTCAGCCCGAAATACTCCCCGATCTTCTTCGTGCTCAAGCCATCTTTGCCTTGGGCTTTGTCAGAGAGGCCGGTAACCCATAATCCTCACATATCCACAATTCACGCCCGAGCTAACTGAACCCGAAAGACTTCACCTTCAGCCGAACAGCGCATGCGGTGCATGTAGTGCAGGAGGGTCTTTTCCTCACGCGACACGGAACGTAGGGTTTCGGCTCCAGGGTGCAGAAATTCATGTTCGAGGTGTTGGGCATTGCATCTCCACTCTCATAGTCACACATTGCAACTGCATGTTGGGCGAATAGCTTTTGAAGTTGGGGTGTTGGGTTGAGGGTTCTGGGTGCTGGGTGCTGAGATATCTAACTTGTAACATCAAACTTGCATTAAAGCTGATTGAGGGGGCTGGGCGGCGAAGGGTGCGGGGGGTTGATATCAGGGCTTAAGCTTAGGGTTGCCAGGTCACCACCAACCCGCCCAACAGTTTGACAACTTTCTCCTTGCCCTCCGGTCCCCTTCACCCACCTCCCACTCCCCAGACTACCAGAACAATAAATGGTCTGTTGGCGACTTCACGTTCAGGCGCCTCAAATCCCATTGTGTCGGGCTCCGATTCCGACGCAGAGGAAGCTTCCTCAAGCGAGCGTGGGCGGCCGAGGTCCGCAGGTTCAGCAAAGGGGCTGTCTACACCTCTACGTCATGGGATGCGTCAATTTTAGGACTTGGGCAGAGTTTCATGTCGTGCCGAGGCACGGGATCCTCCGAGGATGAAGCCATGGGCTGCTGAACGCCCGAGACCTTCGCTTCCCTTCGGAGCCGAAACGCTCACCAAAAACGGAGCTTCCTCTCCCGGTCTACAGGTTCCCCTCTCTCCAAAGGGCAAATCTCTCACCACAGCTCCCACGCCAGGCCCCGAAGTCCGGAACCTCTTGGCACCGGTTGCTCCAGGGCCCCGGCGGTTCCCGACGCCCGAGACACCCGGTGCGCTGCGGTGTGAGACAAGCATGCCAGGCCTCGGTGCCAAAAACATGGGCTGCTTTGGGCATCGGCTTCAGCATGTATAAGTTTAGGGTGTGAAAGTTTAGGATTTAGGGTTTAGGGTTGAAAAGTTGAGGGTTTAGGGTTTAGGGTCTAGGGTTCAAGGATGGTGCGGGATTCCCTTGCTTGCCAAATCTCGGGGCAACATCAAATCATTTGCCCCTGGGGAGGCCTTCATCTTCCCTTCGCACGCTTGCGACCCGGAGACCAGACACAGTCGCTGCACCCACCAAGACAACATGCTCAGCAGTAACCCCTGTCACTCTAATATACGCTGTTCGCTAATCATCATCATCGTCACCACCGCCACCACCATCATCATAGTAAAATGGGTTGCTTCTTGAGTTAGGGTTCGCTTGCAGTTCTCTGGTGAGCGATTCAAACAACGATTCCACGGGACCCTCTTCTGCGGAACCAAACACGTGATGCTTAGCTACAGCCTGGGACTACTTTTCTCTGTGAAGGGTAAGCAAATTCCATGCTCGCGTCTCCTTCGGAGACGGAAAAGCACCACCTGCTCAGGAAGCAAAGCGGTGACCTAGTAATTGAACAACACTTTGGAGCTTCAGAGGTCATAAGTGTTGCGCCACCTGGGAAGAGCTATATTCTAAGCATGTAGCACCTCTGCAGCTCCAAGATGTCGCGCAGGGAGCGGGTGTATCAGTGCAGCAACCTCGGAAAGCGGAGCCGTCGGAAGATGGCTACGAGTACTAAAGCTACGGCCAAGGCCCACGGGAGCTAAAATCTCACAGCAATGGCCGCCCACAGGGAATGGCAGGCAGTGACAAAGTCTTTGCTTCGTAATGGGGCATCTCGTCAACCCTCTGGCGGGGTATGGGCATGGGCTTGGGCAGTGCCTGGAGGATAATGGACCGAGGACGTTGGAACTCGGGAATTCTTCGTAGGCACTCCTGGTAGCGCCGCTCGTACATGGCGAAGCGCGCAGCATCTAAGGGGCCTCCGTCGTAGGCGAACTCCACCTCATCAATGAGGGTGGCCACATCCCAGAGATGCCGGTTGAGCGTGGAGCCCGTGTAGAAGGGCTTTCCGCCCAAGGCATCCCCCAGCAATATAAAGGGAACCAGCTGATCCCCGATGCTAAGCTGGCAGACGGCATGATCAGCGGACCAGTACGAGGCGTCTACAAACCTGGCAGGGGAAAGCATGCATGTAGGCTCAATACCGCCTGTCTGAGTTCCTGGTCTGACTCGTAAGAGGGGGGACGGAAAGGCCCCCACAGGTGCAGCTCACGATAGCTCACCCGAGCCCCGAGGAGCAGATCGATCCCACAACCCATGACTGTCAAGGCAGGGTGTGGTGCCTCAGCTCTACCCTGCATGTTGGGTTTATGAATACCTTACCCCTCTGACCCTGAGACCTCTCTCTTTCTGTCTGCTGGCTTAACTTTCTCTCTCTGCTAGCCTCCCTCTCTACAACTTCAACAAGAGATTTCAACGGCTTTGGGCCCGACCACCAACACCGTGCCAGTAGCCATCCACACACAGTCGAAATATGTCGAAATCAACAGGGTGTCCCTGAATCGGAACTCTCAACACCACGACCAGCCCACTTAAGCCGATAGGGTGCAAGGCCTGCAGGTGACGCCCGCCGCTCGGACTCGCTGCTGCAGGGCCTCGAGCGCAGGTTTTAGCGCCTGGGAGGTCGCTCCAACCAGGTCCTGAAGCCAAGGCTTCGCTCTAAGTCGGTGTGGTAAGCATGATTAGAGTTTGGGCCTTGGGGTGGTTAATGCGGGGTGTGTGATACGGTACTGAGAGGGTCCCGAAATCAACCGCAAAAAAAAATACGCATCGTCCTCGAAAGCCTCTGCCAGGGTCCCTCGCGGTGTCGACGAGGCGCCCTTCAGGACGAAGGACTCCAACACCTCACCGGAGAGGCCGAAGACCCAGAGCCAACCTGGGCTGCTGCGAAAGAAACTGAATGAAGTCACCATCATAAGGAAACCCTATTATGTACTCTGTATATGTATGTGTATATATATATATATATATATATATGTGTGTGTGTGTGTGTGTGTATATATATATATACTTTTGTATGTGTCACAATATGTATCCCCATTAGCGTAGCTTCAGTGGAGTTCCTTAACGGCAACCCAGCCACAGGCGCAGGCGCCCTCGAAGCCCGGCCGCAGCATCACGCGGAGCCCCGGGAAGCGGCCCGCTTGCTGGGCGGCCCCGGAGAGGTCCATGCTCCCCAGCTGCCAGGCGTCGGCTCCCTGGAGGTCCTGGACCTTCCAAGCCAAGCCCACTTGACTTGGAGGATCATGGGACTTAGTAAGTATAGTTATAAGTCCCCTAATTGGGGTTATTATAATAGTTACTTTAGTTATAACCCTACTTACTAAGTCCCATGATCCTTTAAGTAGCCTAACTGCAAGAGCCCAAAAGATGGGGGAAGGGAAGGACGCCTGAACAGGGCGGGCGCTTCCACACTTTACACCCTCCGGGACCTGGAAGACAACCACACGCTGACTGTCGCCAATCTTCACCTCACAACCCAAATCCTTTCGCAAGGGGTCGTCGAGGGATCTCCGTCCCGCGGCCCAGAGAATGCAGTCAAACTGCCCGGTCTGGCAGAGCTCCGCTGGGTCTGAGATGGAGGAGCCATAGCCGATTCTTGCCTCCTGGCCCGCCACCTTCTTCCAGCGTCTCAGGAAAGTGTCTTCAATCTCTGCAACCGGCATTCCGGAAGTGAAGCTCCTCGACTTCGTCTGCTGGTCCAGCATGGCCCGCGTCGATGAGGAGAGCGCGATACGGATGTCCGTCCGGGTGCAGTGGTTCTCCATGGATCGGGCCTCGAAGAGGACCACCTCCGGCGCATCCGGTCGGAGCCGGGCACAGCCAGTTCCATCGGTCCAGCGGTACTTCTGCGCCAGCAACATGGCAGCCCAGAGGCCCACGGGACCCGCACCCACGATGGCGATTCGTCGCCGCGTGATGCAGGCCCAGTTGATGTTCCCAGCATCTTTCTCCGCACCCCGGATTTGAGGCATCTTGGCCAGGAGCCTCTGGGCGATGCGCGCCTGACATTCCTTTCGGAAGGACTCTAAGTCCACGTTGGCCGCCAAGGCGGCCGCCTTCGCGCGCTGGGCCTCCTCCGTGGCCTTCTCCAGCTCCGACCGCGCCATGAGCCGCTCCCGCGTCTTCGCGACGAAGCCGCGCAGGTCCCCTCCGCGCGGGGGCGGAGGATCCTTCGGCCTGGAGACCTCCGCCTCGGCCATGAGGGCTGCGGCTGCCAAGGCCTCGGCCTCCAGGGCCTTCGTCTCGAGGCGCTCCTTGGTCTTCACCAAGAAACCCTCCAAGTCTGCGCCGAAGCCACGTCGCTTCTTGGCCTTCAGCTCGGCCTTGCGCTTCGCCTTGCGTGCGGCCTTCCGTTCCTGCCGCAGCCGCTTGCAGACGCGGCGAGCGGCCAGGGCGGCCGCATCCAAGCTCTTCTTCTTCTTGGGCCTCGCCGGTTCTTCGATCAGGATTTCGCCATCAAGCTCAGCTTCATCCACCTCCCCGGGCCAAGATGTATCCGTGGGCGCCTCGGATGCTATCTCCAGCAAATCTTCCACTTCAGATTGATCCTGGAGATCTTGGTCGTCTGAGTCCTCCTCCAGTGGCCGCTTGTCCTGGGAGCATGCAGGCTCTCTCGGCTCCATTGCGGGAGCACTGCCATCTACTCTGAGCAGCTTCCACTTCGAACCGCACGACAACTCGGCGGCAGGAGCGCTTCTCAAAGAACATCATGCAATGCACAAGCTCGATTTATGCATGCCCTGCACATGTGCTGCTGCCATGTCGGCCAACCAGTCCCCGGCCAAAGTCTGCCATTTTGGCAGTCCCGTTCCGGTCCAGCAAGATGTTGGGACTTTTTATGTCGCGGTGAAACACCTTAGCCACATAGCCACTGCTCCGACCGGCTGGCTTGGGACGCACATTCAGCATCATGAGAGCCTCCATGTGCTGTGTCGCAAATGCGATGTCACTTCAAGGCTGAGTGGCCTACCTTGGGAGATGCATAGTGCAGGTGCGACAGGCCGCAGGCCGCGTCTAATGCCACACCAACCTGTTGCATCAGTGTCAACGAGCTGTCTGAGATCAGCGTTCCCACCTTCATTGAAGGGCTGTTCCATGCAGCAGCCTGAGGCTACACACTACAACAAGGAGTAAGCCCGCGACCCGTTCTCGCCAAGGGAAGGGTATGTCCTCATGGCAGCTCCGCTGCAACCTGCGCACTCTCTTTGACCGCTGCCTTCTGGCATGCTCCGACCCCTTCCAGACTTGGCTGGCAGGGCTTCTTCACTTTTTTGTGGGTGCCACTCTGTGACTCTGTAGGCTATAGGTCGGCCTCCTGTGCTCGGAAACCTGGACCCTAAACTACTTCTAGGAGACTTTTTGAGCCCTAAACCCTCAACCCCGAACTCCTTCAAGAGCTCCTCCTATGTGCCTGAACCCTTTTGCAGCGGCTTCTCTCGCCCGGAACAGCCGTCGCTGTGTCTAAACCCTAAACCCGCAACCCTCGACAGCAAACCCTAAACGCTGAGATTCCTGAAACTCTTCTTCGCCGGCCTGCGATGGACGTCCCCACCCGATAAGAGCTCGTAGACCAAAAGGCGCTTGGCCCCGTGGCGAGCGAAACCTTACTACGCAAGGTTTAGGGTGTAGAGTTTACAGCGTTAAGGGGGTCTAAGCAAGGGTCTAAATCTAGAATGTTTTAGGCATTTCAGGGTTGGTGTAGGGTTTGAACTCTGGCAACTCGGGTTGAGGGTTTAGGGTATGGGGATGCTACTGGAACTGCTTATGCATGTCGGGCATTCCCCATCAGTGCGACGACGAAGTACGCCGGGTTCTGAAGTGCGAACTTGGAAAACCCGGCATGGACGTGTTCATGGCTCCGGACCCCGACCTAACATGGTCTTCGAATCATAGAACTAGCAAACAGCTGACGCGTTCCTCACATGTGGTGAAAGTCAGTGGAACATCTGACTTTCATGACAGCGCGCTTGCAGGAGACCCAAAGTAATGGCAATCGAAATGCTAACTTCGACGAAACAGCAGCTAAGCGAGTCCCGGGCCTCAACGCTTCTTGTTTTCGCACAGCGCATGTGTCACAAAATGCAGGTTCAGCCTGAGTGGAGATTTGTAGGCTGTACAGTACACAAGACATGATTGGTTTCAAAATCCCTGCCGGTCGCAGGCACGTTTCCTATCCAGCCAGCAACCCCTCCGGGGATAGCCGACTGCAAAGGAACCTGACTATACAAAGGATCGTGCTTCCATCACTTTTTGGCCGGGTTCTGGGTGGTCGTGTTCTTGAAGCCCTCGACCCAGTTGATGGCCCAGAAGTCGGAGGCGAGGGCGGGATGGCACATGTACTCATATGGCATATAAAAGTAGCCCTTGTCGCCCCATCCTTCTCCCCAAGAGTTGCGGACGATGAAGCACTGCTTGAAGTCGTCGTAGCCCACGGCAGTAACAGCATGGCCTCCTAGCTGTTGGTCGGTCGGCTGGGGCATCACCATTTTGCCGGTCCTGGCAACCTCCGCTGTCTGGAAGCTCGTCAGGACGGCAAAACCGAAGACAAAGGGGTAGCCGTTCTTCAGGCATGCCTTGAACTGGCTCAGGTCCTGGGCAACGCGCGCATAACCGACGACTTTGCACTTTTGCGCCAGCTCGTAGGCCTTGTCACTGGGCTGCTGCTTGAAGAAATCATGCTGGTCGTCATACTTCCAAATGCTCTCCGGGCAAACACCAACCTTGGACATCGTCTTGATGCCGTCCCGGATCATCGCACCAGCATCCTGGTTCACGCTACCCTCCACAAGGCGCTCGTTGTAGTAGATGAACAACCGGCTAGGAGTGAAGTCGGCGAAGTCCTTATGGTTCTCCACCGTCATCTTGTGGAGGGTGAAGTGGAAGGCTGCTGCCAAAGCGTTCGCTGTGCAGCTGCCGAGATGTCCCTGATCGAAGATGGGGAAGCCACCGTTCTGTGGCCGCAGGTCAATGAGCTCTTTCGCTCCTTCGACCTTCTTCTTGATGTGGCTCGGCGCTTCGACCTTGTTGAAGGTCACACGGAGGTCGCGGTGATCCGGCATGTCTGGTCGCCAGCCGAACTTCATGTTCGTGCGCATGTTGAGGGACACGACATTGGGATGCCTGGGCGCACCTCCGATCTGCAGCTTGCCACTCTCCGAGAGGCTGCTAGTGTTCTTGAAGCCCTCGACCCAATTGATGGCCCAGAAGTCGGAGGCGAGGGCGGGATGGCACATGTACTCATATGGCATGTAGAAGTAGCCCTTGTCGCCCCATCCTTCTCCCCAAGAGTTGCGGACGATGAAGCACTGCTGGAAGTCGTCGTAGCCCACGGCAGTAACGGCATGGCCTCCTAGCTGTTGGTCGGTCGGCTGGGGCATCACCATTTTGCCGGTCCTGGCAACCTCTGCCGTCTGGAAGCTGGACAGGACGGCAAAACCGAAGACGAAGGGGTAGCCGTTCTTCAGGCAGGCCTTGAACTGGCTCAGGTCCTGAGCAACGCGCGCGTAGCCCATGACCCTGCATTTCTGCGCCAGCTCGTAGGCCTTGTCACTGGGCTGCTGCTTGAAGAAATCATGCTGGTCGTCATACTTCCAAATGCTCTCCGGGCAAACACCAACCTTGGACATCGTCTTGATGCCGTCCCGGATCATCGCACCAGCATCCTGGTTCACGCTACCCTCCACAAGGCGCTCGTTGTAGTAGATGAACAACCGGCTAGGAGTGAAGTCGGCGAAGTCCTTATGGTTCTCCACCGTCATCTTGTGGAGGGTGAAGTGGAAGGCTGCCGCCAAAGCGTTCGCTGTGCAGCTGCCGAGATGCCCCTGATCGAAGATGGGGAAGCCACCGTTCATTGGCCGCAAGTCAACGATTTCCTTGTCTCCTTCAGCCTTCTTGGTGATGTGGCTTGGCGCATCAACCTTGTCGAAGGTCACACGGAGGTCGCGGTGGTCCGGCATGTCTGGTCGCCAGCCGAACTTCATGTTCGTGCGCATGGGGAGTCCGGCAAGGCTCGGATGCCTCGCAGAAGCTGCCACCTGGGGGTTTCCCAAAATAGGGGACCCCTAATATAGCACCCTAAATAGTAGGATCCTTATTCTAAGGGCCCCAATATAAGGTACCCTATATTTTTCGGAAACTCCCACCTGAAGCTCGGTAGCATCCGAGGAGACACCGGTAGAACTGCAGTTGCCCATCTTGGAAAAGAACAAAACGATGGCGAGAGGATGCAAAAAAGGGGCTTGGTTGAACCAGGAAAGGCTTGGGACGTGGACATTTCGGCTCTGAGAGTTCTCGGAGTCTAGGTGTTTTACGAGTGCAACTAAGACATTCATCGATGTGAGCACGTAGCTGCATACAGCATATGCGTCAACAGCTGGTGTCAGCAGTCATCCCAGAGCCCTCATCTCTGCAACACATTCGACTTACAGCAACCCTTCTCACGAACCGCCCAGACTTCCACACCATCGCCCACTGTCATCCACTCCGGATGAAGTGGCGGTCACGAAGATCCCTGGAGGCTCCAAGGCTGGGCGCCCAACCCATCAGAATCACAAGATGAGGATGTCGGAACTTGCTGAGGACCTGGACACATCTCTCCTTTCTTCGGGGATCCTACGTGCGGCAGTGCGGGATGCTGCGGCCCCGAAAACCCCCCAAAACCGTGGCGCCCTTGACGCATACATCAGACACCACCAACATCCTAATTGCTGAGCTGGGACTCTCGAGACTCTAGACCCCAAGTTCAAGATCAGAAACCTACACTTTCTAGGTTTAGGGTTTAGGGTTCAACTACCAACTTAAACACAATGCTCATCCTCTAACTCTCACAGCTGAACTGGCGAACCCCCACCCACAAACATAGCCAACCTGAAACCATAAGAAACCCAAAGCCAAAAGACAGAAACCAATGCCCGCCCCAAGCTTTCAACTCCCAAACACCCCAAGTCAAATCCCCGAACACCAACCCGCCCGAGAAAAAAATGTCCAAATGGAAGAAGCAACCAAAACCTCAAGAGCCTCACAAAGTACCCTGAACCCTAAACCCTAAACCCTAAACCCTAAGCCCTAAACCCTAAACCCGGCAGGGCGAGCCTTGACCTCCTCCTCGAAGCCTGCTTCGTTGGGCACGTCCAAGACCTGGTTTAAGCTGCTTCGCTCTCCTTCCTGCAATCCGGTACCCAGAGACTCCAATATCCCTTAATTAAGGAATATACCTTAAATCATATTGAGGATCCTACTATAATTAATATCTCAGTAGTTACATGGGGGTTTCCGAAAATAGGGGACCCTAATATAGGACCCTAAATAGTAGGATCCTTATTATAAGGACCCCTAAATAGGGTACCCCCTATTTTCGGAAACTCCCATATCGTTTTTGGAATGGACACCTTGACGGCAACCGCCCTGCACTCTGTAACACTGTACGATCTGAACATGCAGCTCTGCAAGCCCGCATGCATTTACCAGGGTTATAGCCGGCAACGTCCATGTAGAGGGGCGGTTTTCTACTCTGATACTCGTCACCGTCAGGCAGCTACTTGACCAACAGCCCTTCTTTTTGAACCCAGACTCTGCCAGTCAGCAGGGAAGCAGCACGTCCAACCCCAAGCCCTAAACCCTAAACCGTTTGTTATAATAGACCCTACATACAAGTCCCAAAAATCCCAAAGCCTAAATCCGAAGTTTGAGGCCTAAGCCCTTATCCCCGAAGCGTAGAGAACCACTCCCGACCCGTAAAAGCCCTGGTCTGCACCTTGATGGCCACCTCCGTGCCATCCTTCCAGCGCAAGCTCATGTGTGTGATTTGACAAAGGCAAAACAATGGCGGATGCCGCAAAGAACTGGTTAGACACCAAAGAGAGAAAGAAAGAAAGACAGAGAGAGAGAGAGAAAAAATAAATAAAACACAAAAACAATACACGTAATATACAACGCGAAGAATTCGACGATGACATGAAGTACGACTGTCCGGGCCTTCAGGATGCCTTTGTAGACGCCACCTGGCGGTTGTTGGGGAGATGGCGGTGTTGCCATGTTGCCACAAGGGCGCAGGACTGTAGGAGTCCAGTCTAGTACAAGTTGGGGTTGTTTGGGCTCTTGGCGGTTTTGGGGCTTTCGACTCTAAGGTTCTAGACGTGTAGGACTTTTCCGCCTGGGAAGATTCGACCCTCGCGGCTTGGGAGACCGGGTGCGAAGCAAGACAGTATAATGTAGGGGCCTGGCTTAATATTTAGTATCGTGTTTTCGGCTCTAGCACACTACAACTATATAAAGGAAAACCCGACGCCCTAAGGAGGCTTCCGACAGAGGTAGTTTTGCGTCCAGATGCGTCAGTAATGTTTGTTTACTTTGAAATACCCATGTAGGTCCACGATTCCGTGCTTGGCAGTGCAAAGTAAGTGCAGCTGGAGAAAAAAGTTCGCAAATCAGCAGGCAAACTTCTGGCACAAGATCTCGAAGCAAGACTGCCGAGGACAAGATCCGGCAGAAGGCTATCCCGTCGTGGTCCAAAAGGTTCAAGGTACGCAGCATATCGGCCGGCGTGAATATGCAACTCAGGTTCCAACAACAATTGAAGTTGTCCGCAAGATTTACGAAGCTCCCGAATCTACAGGGTTGGGATCCGTCCTACTTTTCCTACACTGCTCAGCCCTGGCACCGAGCGTGCGACCGTAGGAACCGGAACCTTGCGCATGCTCAGGTGACATGCCATGTATACCAAACTACTGGACTGCCGACCAACACTTACTCGGGATCGGGCCAAGCTTCATGTGCGTCTCATCGAAGTTATTGGTTGCCTGCGGCAAACTGCAAAAGCGGACGTGATCCCGCACTTGTGGCTTGCGCGTCTACACATGTCTTTGCATGTTTAGGATACCTGAAGAAGGATATGAAGCATCAGAGATTATGGACATGTTGGGCATTTCTCCCCCTCTCGCTTTGCCGAGGCCGCGAGGTGAACCAGGCCAAAATTATAGATACATACATAAATACAATCGTGTATATGTATACGCCAAACCATGGAATACATAATGATAATAACAATAGTAATAATGATCATAGTAACAATAGTAATGACATACAAGGCTCACATGATTGGCGCCTAGCGGAAGACTGATAGCCTGCAGCGAAATTCGATGCAACCTAGTGGTGTCCACTACACTGTAACATGTAGACAGCAAGTAGTATACTACAATATCGTACAGCATAAGGCTAAAGTGTCATAGCATAACAGAACATGACATGGTGCTCCGTGTGGGTTTGTTGGCTTCATGTTTTCATGTCGTATTATTGCACGTCACAAACACAGTTGAAATCCTAGTTCCATGCCGATTGTGCATTTGCGCATGCATACTTGTATGTATGTATGCATGTATGCATGTATGTATGCATGTCTTCACACACTCACACTCTTCCGGAGCATTCTTGGGACGGCTCACCTGCTTGAGCTCCTCGTAGGTGTACTCCAAGCATATGTCGTTCAGGTTTCGGTCCTGAGCGGCTTGGAGTGGTCTCAGTCGAGTCTAGGCCAAGAGACTTCTGCTGACACGAAGCCCTGCCACATCCCCAGAGCCATCTCAAATTCTGACTCCGACATGCGCAAGCTTTACACCCAAAACCTCTGCCAGCAGAATCCAGCAACACCCCTCTTGCTGAGAGTTGAACGCCATAGCCGCCCACGTCCCCCAACCTGCTGAGGCACCAAGCGTTTCGATTTCCACAGTTTTGCCAACGGATTCGGGGTGTGGCGCTGCACACTTTGGCTTTGTCGTTGCTCCGGTACAGTGCCCGGGGCAGACCTCCAGTCAGGTTTGGGGTTGACTGGTGCGCACAACCTGGCGAAAAGGGTGACGCATCTCAGCAGCGGCCGACCACTTCGAGCTGTAACCCTCGTATCAAACCATGAAGGAAAGACAAGGAGGACCTCCCCGGGGTTTACGCTGTCCCACCCGCAGTTACGTAAGATCAGGAGCACGGCCCACGCCGCGTTTTATCCATAAGGTTCCGATTCCCACCAGCAAACCCACCATAAGTGCCGAAATAGCAACAGGATGCAGCATCATTGACATTCAGCCTACGTGTGCTGGAATGTGCTGGAATCCTTTACCCTTTGAGTTACCCTACTGCCACGGGTGGCGACTAAACGAGCCAGAACAATATGTTGGATTTGCGGGCGGAGAGCCTTTGAGTGTATCTGCACACAAGCAGTTGCTGCTGATGTTTTACCAGGCCTAGCCACGCAGCTTTCAGCAAGCCCAATCCCTTGTCACAACAGATCTGCAGCCCCTTACGACGGAAAACGTGGAAGGCCCTAGTGATTGAAAGCTGTAAAAGCCTGGGGGCCACAAGTTCTCGCCGTCTTCTCCGAGCTACTGTTGCTTCACTATTATTTCCAAATCGGGGGGCGAGGTTCGGAAGTCTTGCCTCACGGAGCATGTAACCTCAGCCGGCAGGGAAGAAGAAACAACACCACAAACTGTGTTTCGGCCGATATTTGTTTGTCTACATGCGTAGAGGTACATATGTATGTTTGTATACATACATACATACATACATACATACATACATACATACATACATACACACATACATACATACATACATACATACATACATACATACATACATGTACGTATCTACATCTATATTATGTGTATATATATATATATATGTATATCATTTATATATGCATGCATGTGTATGTGTGTGAGCATATGTATGTAGGTATGTATGTATGTATGTATGTATGTATGTATGTATACATATCTAGGGTTAGTGCGACTGTATGTTCCAACCCGCTTACATTTCATATCTTTCTTTTGACGCTCGCCAGGCGACTCCGAGCCGTGGCGAGGTCTCAACGCATGAACAACCAGAACACACATTTCGGTCGCGACCTTGACCTCTCCTGTGGGCCGACTGCAGAGTTGGTTCCTCGGCCTCTCCCTCACTCTGCCTGCATGCATATATATATATATACAAACAAAATCACATCTACATATGTCTATTTGCATACACATATACATATACATCTACGGTACACGTACATATACATATACACACGCAACTTCGAGCATGTATCTACATACATATACATCGACCTGAAAAGCCGTCTCTCGCTCCTGATCTCTTTGCACGATCACTCAACTCACATGGTGGCTCCCTCAGCCTTGCAGCGGCCGGAGGGCTGCTACTACCCTGCCCAAGCTTCCGGCTCGCTGCAGCGCAGGCGGATGATTCACAGGCGGGGCGAAGGGCTTGACCAGCTGCATCAACTTTCGGCCCTGCCCTGGCAGGTCCTCCCTAATTAACTAAACCTTGACAGAAAGTTTAGGGCTTGTAGGGCTTATCGGAAGGAGGATCCTATCATGATGGGTCGAGGTGCCTGGAGACTCAGGCAGTAAAAGGAGAAGAAACCCCAGTGTCTTATTGCTTGCAAGGCTAGCTGGCTCCGCATGTGGATTCACGGAGCTTTAGGCAGCTCTGCAGCTTGCAGCTTCTTGAAGTGAATATCGGAGAAAATTCCATCAAGTTTACGGACGTGGGCAGTACAGATCATAAAGCCGATGGTGATGATGCAATGAGCGCATCAACATCTGCATATATATATATATACACATACATACATACATACATACATACATACATACATACATACATACATACGTATACCAGCATGCACAAAAGCTAAAAGGAATGGTTCATGTCTACACACTGCCTCGAGCCGAAATGCATGCAGAGAACTGCTGCAAACCCAAACCGGCAAGGCTACATTTGCAACGATTGGACCCGCCCCCGCCCGTGCAATTCCGAAAAACTCCAAAACCCATGTCCTGCCACAGGCTGCCATTGACAGGTGTAAAAACAATAAGTTTCAGACTGCAGGGTCTTGCATTGACATCGTAGAACCGCAAGACTCCGAAACAAATCACAGAAACAACATCGGCGCAGGGAGTTACACGGTCCTACCATTGTCTCCTGCAGCCGATCGAATGTCAAAGTCTCAGATGGAGTGAAAGACGATGCACCGATCGACCCGCGCACTGCCCTTTCCGACGCAACTGCGAGCCAAGAACCGGCCTGCAAAGGTCGCGTGGGTGTCGAGGCGTGACAGCACACGGTGCAGTGGGTGTCACTATGCCTTCTTCGCGAAGTGTGCTGAAACTACTCTTAGTCTTAATGTGGGTTTCGCAGAATGGGCCATCCCCATTGAAATGCACTGTCCAAATCTGCTGGACCACACAGGCAAGACCTGCAAACCCGCTGCAAGATCCTTTAGTGTTCGCGACACAGAACGCTGGGTGTCAGCTGAGATCAAAGTGTGTCCTGGCCTTCCTCTGCCACAGCCATGGCATAAGGAAGGTAGGAGGCAGCAGGGCAGCAGATAAGTTCGCACCTCACCGCTCGGAGATTTTGGAATCTGGTTCGCAGACTCAAACCAAAAGAGTGGCCCAAAAGGAGAAGACCAGCCCCTGGTGCTGCAGAAAAGCCGCAGATGCGCGGCGGGCTTCCTGCTACCGCGGCAAAGGAGGCATCCAAGACAGCCTTCTGAAGGGAGCTGTCCTCCACCAAGCTCACTGCCAACCAAATCCCGTGCTCATCGATAGGCACGCCATATCCGAACAGCTCCATGTTTTGGTGGGGGTTTTAATTGCGAGGAGGAGACGAAATTCGGAGAACTGGCCTTTCAATGAAACACCCCCACAGCAAAAAACTAAAAAAGGCACCCCGCAACTTCAGGGACATCTGCTTACTCACCTCCTCAGGCTTGGGGACCGCCCTACACCAGAGGATTCTCCGAAGAGAGCCGAGTCCAAAGCCTCGGCCCCCTTAGGCAACAGAAAACGAGAGGAAAGCCCTTTGCGTCGCATAAGCCGGCAAGGCTCCCTTTTGGGGTTTAGGCTCTCACAACTCGGACAGGGTTTTTGTTTCCAGAATTTGGGGTTTAGGGGTTTAAGGAGCAAAGGGCAGCGGCCGGAGGCAGCAAGCATTTTCGCCAGGAAAGAAGCAACACACGCACACCTGCAGCGCGCTGCAGAGGAAATCTTATGGTGACGCTTTTTTCTTGCTTACTTGGCAGCTACCCTAATCCCTACACCCCAGTGGATGCCACAATATCCGGCGATTCGACCCAAGAAAAGTACGGGCTTGCGAGTCAGGACGGCCAACCGGCTGCCCAGTCTCGATGGCATACCGTCTCGGGTATTCTGAGAAATACTTGGGTAGTTCTCTAAATTAGGGTCTCTTGTTGGGCCCCCAATACAGTACGGCACCCTTATTTAAAGGACCCCAAAAAGGACCCTGTTTTAGAGAACTACCCACTTGGCGATGGCCTCCTCTGTTTCCAGCGCATCCAGTCAACACCAGGTGTGCGGCCAGGCCTCAGCTCTTCAGAATCAGCTCAGCACCCCATCAGCTCATCCCGGATAAGCACCTGTCACCCGACAAGTACACATGACTTCCGGCCACGGGCCTCAGCACTCAGATCCCGCCACACGTTCCAACGCCGGCAGACGCCGGACCACAGAGTCTTGACTCGCAGCCGGAGACGCCTCTTGAGATCTCTGTGAGGATGGGCCAAAGCACAAACGATCATTTGTTCGAAGCTGGGCCCTGCACACAGCTTGACCTGCAACGCGGTCGCCAACACGTCAACGCAACAAGCTGGAGAATTTGACACACGCGAGGCGCAGGACAGGCAGAACAACATGTGAACCCGAGCTTCAGCAAGGCCAATCCCCACTGCTCTTGTTCACACCAGCACAGCCTGGATTCTTCTGGAGGCTTCCGGGATCTGCGGATGTTTGGACTGAAGCTCCAGGATGCACTTTGTCTCCGTCCAAGGGTGCTTCTTCCACTCAGTAGGTCACATGCAGACCTGCCCATCGTCCCATATACTCTGAAAGCGGCCTGGCCAGGATGCAGCCGAGTCTTATTCGTCATATCCGCGACTCTCCGTGATGTCTGCGCCGCGGTACAAACTTTCTCATTTAGGTGCACTTCTGACGCACTCAGTGCTGCTGACAATCTGGGTGAACTGGCAAAGCCTGCTGTTTGAACGAACCCTGCGTGTGCCCCGAATCTGGCTGCAACTTCCTTTGGAAGCAAAACCGTTTGCCAGCACCCCTCCAGCTGACGCCACCCGCTTCCCTGAAGTGCCCCCGCAGACGGATTCAGTGCTCCGGGCACAGGCATAGGTCGTGCCAAAGGAGAGCATAACGAGCCTTTTGGCGCATGGCCTGGCTCGAAACTTCACAGAATGCGGCTCGTTTTGGCTTTTAGTCTGACAGTCAAAGCAGCAGACGTAGTGTTTGGGAGTCTGGACCAAGAGTCAACGTGGCAAAGAACAAACTGTATTGCAAAGCCGTGAGAGCGGGGTTCGGTGCTTGTCTCGTGGCATTTGGCCTCTCAGTGCCGGGACCTAAACCTTATGCGTAGCTAGCAGATCCCGTGCTCGAGAAACACCGAGACAGCCTGTGACCTTCTGCCGAGCAGGCATTGCTTGGAATCTTCTGTAGGCTTCCGGCACTCGAGGAAAGGAAGGCCGAAACCAGCGCCCGAGCTCAAGTTTCGTTCTCCGTGCGCGGTCCCGTTGACACGGCACTCTGTTCGGGAAGCTCGCTGCTGCCCGTGCGTTGAATAAACGTCGTTCGGGGCGCCTGAACAGCTTTAGCAATGTCAGTGCTGATGACCGGCGCAAGCTAGAAGTGCACATTGTGCTAGCATCGATCGCGGAGACACTTGCGCAGCTGACCTTAACGCTTTGCAAGCAGTACATGCGAAAAGTGGAGGTTGCGTCAAATGAGAAATGGCTTCTTTTCCCTTTCATTGCTTGAACACACGGGGCGGTTCAAGACAATGTTTCACGGGCGTGCCTTTCTTTTCCACGCCAAAATGAGAAATGAGAAGTCCTGGTTTGAAGATCTGCCTTTGCATGCTATCGCGGGATTAGCGGAATGTCTCCATGGCAGCACTTGCGTGGTATGGGCATGTTACATCCCATGAAAAGAGAAGCCTTTGCGGCTACACGATGGGTGGTGGGCTCGGTGTCGATAGTGGTTGAGTCTCAGGAAATTTCGAGCGGGCCTTGAACCCATGACACAAACAGTTCCTGTGACCGGCACATGCTACCAGCGCATACAAACAGTTCCTGTGACCGGCACATGCTACCAGCGCATGTCGTGTCAGCGGACAACGCAGCATTAGCCGCATTGACACATGTGCAGCTGAAGGGCTTTGGCATCTGAGCCGCTGCGTTTATTTAAGGCTCAGGCTACTTGCGGTATCTCGAAGCGGTGCCCCTATCTCGTTTCATCATACTACGCTCTCGCAACTCGGACTCCGCCAGACGAGGTCTGTTGTTTCATCATATTCAGTACTGGCAGAAAAACTTGATCTCGCTCAGGTATCGTTAGTAGCAGCTCTGATCATAAATGAGCCT